ATGATCTGAGGGGGGCGTTTTTGGCCCCCTGATGTCGAAAGGGTTGCCTGTTGGGCATTTGCACAGGCCAAGTTGATGGGTTGGTGGTCTCAACTGGCCTGAACTGGACAAGGGGTCATCTCTCAGTTCCTGAAAAACAGCTTTTAATTACTCTGTTGATAAAATGGGGTCAGTTGAACTGGTCCTAGTGGGCCCATTGTTCCAAGGACAGTTGATGCAGAAGAGCAGTCCTGTTGGAATGGTGCCCTGACTCTACAAAGGAGCTGTGAACCCTGTTGCTGGAGCAGTTCTAGTTAGTTGTTCTTTCTGCCAAGGATGTTAGGGGAGAATGTATAAAAGGAATATAGAGGGTAGACATGGCTGCAGTCAAAGGACCAAACCAGATGATATCCAAGGTTCTTTCTTATTGTGAAGGGAAAGATAGCAATAGGGATCTCCATGTTGGAAAATGCTGTTCACTGCAACCCATCACTTTCAAGGTAATTGGACAGGACCTAAGGCATGTTTTAAAACCTTCCTTTAAAAAAACCTATAAATCTTCATTGAAATCATAACAAGCATCTTTTCAGACCATAATGCTATGAAACTGGAAATCAACCACAAAAAAAACTGGGAAAGTGACCAAAATGTGGAGATTAAACAACATGCTACTGAACAACCAATGGATCATTGATGAAATTAAAGGAGAAATCAAAAACTATCTGCAAACAAACGGAAGTGAAAATATGCCATACCAAATCATATGGGATGCAGCAAAAGCAGTCCTGAGAGGGGAACTCATAGCGATACATGCCCACCTTAACAAACAAGAAAAAGCCCAAATAAGCAACCTTAAATTACACCTAACAGAACTAGAAAAAGAAGAACAAACAAAGTCCAAAGTCAGCGGAAGGAGAGGAAATAATAAAAATCAGAGCAGAAATAAATGAAATTGAGACCAAAAAAACAGTAGAAAGGATTAATGAAACAAAGAGTTCTTTCTTTGAGAAGATAAACAAAACTGACAAACCCTTAGCCAGACTTACTAAGAAAAAAAGAGACTCAAGTAAATAAAATAGAAATGAAAGAGGAGAAATTACAACAGATACCACGGAAATACAAAGGATTATAAGAGAAAACTATAAGAATTATATGCCAACAAATTGGACAATCTAGAAGAAATGGATAAATTCTTAGACTCATACAACCTCCCAAAACTGAACCAAGAAGAAATGGAGAATCTGAATAGACCAATCACAAGTAAAGAGATTGAAATAGTAATCAAAAACCTCCCAAAAAATAAAAGTTCAGGACCAGATGGTTTCTCCGGTGAATTATACCAAACATTCAAAGAAGATTTAATACCCATCCTTCTCAAACTATTCCAAAAAATAGAGGAAGATGGAACATTTCCTAAATCATTCTATGAGGCCAACATCACCCTGATACCAAAGCCAGACAAAAACAATACAAAGAAGGAAAATTACAGGCCAATATTGCTGATGAACATAGATGCAGAAATCCTCAACAAAATATTGGCAAACCGAATACAGCAATACAATAAAAAGATCATACACCATGATCAAGTGGGATTTATACCAGGGATGCAGGGATGGTTCAACATCTGCAAATCAATCAACGTGATACACCACATCAACAAAACAAAGAATAAAAACCACATGGTTGTCTCAATAGACGCAGAGAAAGCATTTGACAAGACACAACATCCATTTATAATAAAAACTCTCAACAAAATGGGAATAGAAGGAAAGTACCTCAACATAATAAAGGCTATTTATGACAAACCCACAGCCAACATCATACTCAACAGAGAAAGACTGAAAGCCATTCCTCTGAGAACAGGAACGAGGCAGGGCTGCCCACTCTCACCACTCCTATTCAACATAGTACTGGAGGTTTTGGCCAGAGCAATTAGGCAAGAAAAAGGAATCCAAATAGGCAACAAAGAAGTGAAACTCTCACCATTTGCAGATGACATGATTTTCTATATAGAAAACCTTAAAGAATCCATTGGAAGACTATTAGAAATAATTAACAACTACAGCAAAGTCACAGGGTACAAAATCAATCTACAAAAATCAGTTGCATTTCTGTATGCTAATAACGAACTAACAGAAAGAGAGCTCAAAAAAGATAATAGCATTTACAATTGCATCAAAAAGAATAAAATATCTAGGAATAAATCTTACCAAGGAGGTGAAAGACCTATACAATGAAAACCACAAGACATTATTGAAAGAAATCGATGACATAAAGAAACGGAAAGACATCCCATGCACATGGATTGGAAGAATAAACATAGTTAAAATGTCTATATTACCTAAAGCAATCTACAGATTCAATGCAATCCCAATCAGAATCCCAATGACATTCTTCACGGAAATAGAACAAAGAATACTAAAATTCATATGGGGCAACAAAAGACCCTGAATAGCTAAAGCAATCCTGAGAAAAAAGAGCAAAGCTGGAGGCATCGCAATCCCTGACTTCAAAACATACTGCAAAGCAATAGTAATCAAAACAGCGTGGTATTGGTACAAAAACAGACACCCAGATCAAGGGAACAGAATTGAAAGCCCAGAAATAAAACCACACATACACGGACAGCTAATTTTCGATGAAGGAGCTAAGAACATACAATGGAGAAAGGAAAGTCTCTTTAATAAGTGGTGTTGGGAAAATTGGACAGCCACATGCAAAAGAATGAAAGTGGACCATCTGCTGTCACCATTCACAAAAATTAACTCAAAATGGATCAAAGACCTGAAGGTGAGACCTGAAATTATAAAACTCGTAGAAGAAAATATAGGCAACACACTATTTGACATTGGTCATAAAGGAATCTTTTCGGATGACATGCCTACCCAGACTAGGGAAACTAAAGAAAAAATAAGCAAGTGGGACTTTACCAGATTAAAGAGCTTCTACAAGACAAACGAAACCAGAATCAAGATCAACAGACAACCCACCGGCTGGAAGAAAACATTTGTAAAACATATATCTGACAAGGGGTTAATCTCCATAATATATAAAGAACTCACACAACTGAACAATAACAAAACAAACAACCCAATCAAAAAATAGGCAGAGGAAATGAACAGATACTTCTCCAAAGAAGATATACAGATGGCCAACAGGCACATGAAAAGATGTTCAACATCACTAATCATCAGGGAAATGCAAATCAAAACAACACTAAGATATCACCTCACGCCCATTAGAATGGCTATAATCACCAAGACAAAAAACAACAAATGTTGGAGAGGATGTGGAGAAACAGGAACCCTCATACACAGCTGGTGGGAATGCAAACTGGTGCAGCCTCTATGGAAAATGGTATGGACATTCCTCAAAGAATTAAAAATAGAAATACCCTGTGATCCAGCCATCCCACTACTGGGAATCTATCCAACGAACCTGAAATCAACAATCCAGAGAGGCTTATGCACCCCTATGTTCACTGCAGCATTATTCACTATAGCCAAGAAGTGGAAGCAACCTAAGTGTCCCTCAACTGATGATTGGATCAAGAAAATGTGGTGTGTATATACAATGGAATACCACTCAGCCATAAAAGAAGACAAAATCGTCCCATTTGCAACAACATGGATGGGCCTGGAGGGTATTATGTTAAGTGAAATAAGCCAGAAAGAGAAAGACAAACACTGTATGATCTCACTCATTTGTGGAATATAAACCAACACATGGACAGAGAAAACTGTATTGTGGTTACCAGGGGCAATGGGGGTAGGGGGTGGGCACAAGGGGTGAAGGGAGACATATGTATGGTGATGGACAAACAAAAATGTACAACCTAAAATTTTACAATGTTAAAAACTATTAAAACATCAATTAAAAAAAACCTATAAATCTTCAGATAGTATGAAGATAACTTACATGAACTTCAAAGCTCTCTAAAATCAAAATGTATGTTTTTCTGCTCTATATTTATTGATATTGGTTGATCTTCAAGTTGTGTTCTTGAAAGATAATAAGTGTAGAACAGTGTGTATGGTGTCTAATAAGAGTAAAAATATGTCTATATATGTATATTTGATTATATGTGTACAAAATACCATGGAAAGATTACACTAAAAAACTGTTAACAGTGGTTATCTCCATGGAAGGAAACTGAGTAGTTGGTGACTATTAAAAGTAAACTGGTACTTTTCTGGTATCAGGAGTTATTCATTAGTTTCAGCAGAAGTCTCTGAATCAGAGCTTCTTAAAATTTTCAGCATCAGCACATGGCTTCCTAATTACAGATAATCTGGAGATGTCAAAAACCTGTTTTCACTCTCTGTTAAGCCCATCATCTTAAAAGTTCACATTTGTTTTCAGGTGGTATAAGAAAAAGGCAGCTCCTCCCCTTCCCATTCTGTATCCCTGGAAAATGATCCCAACAGAGTTCTGGAACTAGCCCTTAGGATTGGAGCATCTTTTATTCAGTTATATCTAGGACTCACAGCACATATTCCTGAGCTAATTAAACAGAAGCAATTCAGAGCTGTCCTCCCCCTTTAAGAGTGGTTTGGAGAACCTTTTCTTTTTTCCCCTTCTATTCTGTGCCCCAAGCAAAAGCAGATTCCCACTGTAGCTGCGGGAGGCTCACTACCTTCTCAACTAAGTACTGAATCTCTTATGATAATGGATAGAAAATCATTTGCCCTCAAGATAACTAAATAAATGGCTTTGAAATTCTAGAGTAACTTTTTCACTGGTAGACCCATTCAATTATGTATTGATTTCTAAGGGTCTCTCAAAAGGTACATTTTGTAAGTTGTATTTATGGTAAATAACGTCTATTAAGCATTGTTTAGAAATATTTGGTATAGTTTACTGTGAATTATTTTTCTGAAATAGTTTGAGGACAGCTTTGTTCAGAATTTAGCCAATTAAAGGATATGCCCTTATGCTGTCCTATATTTTCAAGTATTTGAGTACATGCTGTGAAAATTGTCTCTTTTTTTTTTTGGCTTTGTTGTATTGTCACAAAACAGAAAGAAGAAGGAAAGCTTCAAGGACAACTTAACAAGTCTGATTCTAACCAGTATATTAGGGAACTGAAAGATCAGATAGCAGAGCTGAATCATGAGGTAAGTGATAAATTTTGATCTTCACATATTTCTTTCTTCCTTCCTCTGTATTGTAACAACACTTCATTACTGGGTATGACTGACTCTTTCGTGATAAATGTTTTCTGTGAATCCTTGATTATAATTAATAATAGTGTTTTGGAAGATTGTCTTCTTTTTAACAAGATTTTTTTTGTTCCAATATTGAGGATTAATTTTCCTTAAATCTCTTTAATCATGATCTAAAATGATCAATTAATATTTGCATGACAAGTATTCTGTTTTTTTATTGTGAGCTGAAAACCTTTGATAGTTTGTCTAGGTGTCAAATTACTTCAGTTAAACTAAAATTTTCTTTATACTTCTGTAGAATAGATTTGTGGTATTTACCGTTGTGGATAGAGGGAAGTCTTTTTGCTCTTGTCTTCTTTTTTCCCTTCATGGTGGTAGTATTACTGAGATTGCAAAAAAGGATACTTGCCTAACATCAGTTAACAGATTTCTTAGTATCTGAACGCTTTTTAAACTGGCACTACCTTGAATCTGTGAGATTCAACTCGTGAAATTTTTGGACAGTTTTACTAGGTACTATACTAAGTTATTTAAATTATTTAAACTAATGATAATTTAGATAAGAGAGATACTTTTTGTTAATGTGGCTGTAGGTCAATTTCCTTCTCCTTTATTATTTTCTAATGATAAATATCTAGCTAAACATGAATGGAAAAGCATGTTTCTTATCTTGAATTATTTGTACAATAATGTTTATTCACAGTGATGAGATTTCAACAGGTAACAAACCTCATTTGTTAAGAAATAAACTTAGTTTGGCCACTAAATTAATTTAAACCTCAAAGGAAAACTTTGGACATTACCCTTTCCTGGTATTACACCCTTCGGTTAAAGACTAAGTGTTTTGGGTAATACCTCCTGGATAGTCAATCTAAGTAAATTCTGAATGAAGAAACAAAACAGTAACCAAAATGATAAATCTTAGATGTGGTTTAATTTAATTTGTCCTGAAATTTTGGGGATCATTCCTGTATATACTGATTTTCAGCCAATATCACATTTGAGGGATTCAGGATCATGTACAATGTTTACGTATGTGTGTGCATTTTTTTTAATCTGTTCTGCTCTAGTAGCCATGTATGAAAGAACAAGTTACAGATAAGCACTTCCTGGAAATCTTTATTCTTTTGAGAACCCTGGGAATAATTCCTTGTGTTCAAAAGCTTTTCTTAAAGGAAATTTTGACTAAAATAAAGCAATCTCCCATTTAAGGAAGATAAGGAAACTTTGATGTTGCTGAATTAAGAAAATTGTATATGGACTGACTTTATTTCTAAGACTAGTCTAAAAATCAGTTAACAAACATTAATTCTGCCTGTAATGTACCTTAACTCAAAATAATGATATTCTCATCAGGACTGGCAGAAAATAGTTCACGTGAGGTTTAACTTTAATGTCAGTTTTTATATGTGGCCCGTGAAAGGAATCGTTTTATCTTTTACAAACATGAAAACAAAATTAATAGGGTAGAATTTTCTGCTATTAAAATAAAGAGCTAGAATGTGCAAATGAAAACTAGAACAGTTGGTGATGAGGTGCTAATTGTGTGATTCAGAGTAAACCAGAGTTCTGGGTTCAAGAGAGTGAGTACAGTACAGCTGGGGACCACACAGGAACACAGAGGTGAGAGTGAGTATGGGATTGGGAGTTTAGAGGAGATTAAGAATTAATGTGACCAAGTTGTGGGAAATAAGGGTAGATTGACTAGAAGCAGCTTATGGTGACTATTCAAAGCGAAGAAGAGATTAAATTTACTAGATGATGTGAAACTCTATAACCATGCTGCTCTTCTTTACCCAATATGCCATTTTAAAATGTTCTGTAATCTTAACAGTAGGTGTAAAGATGAGAAACTGAAAAATCTGTTACTGGCATTTCTAATCAAATGCTGGAAGTACTTGCAAGGGATGACCCTGAGAGGCAGGTGACTTCTTCAGTTGGAGATTTCCTTTTCATTATGTTTTCTGAGCAGATTTTAATACCTTCACCTGTTTCAAAGTTTTATGACTAAAGAAAGAATAAGTGAAAACAATTAAAAGTTTAAACCAAGATAATAGTTGTAGTAGACTTACTATGAAAATTACCATTTATTGGAGCAGCTTCTTTTTTTTTTTTTAACTTCTATTTATTTATTTTTTCCCCCAAAGCCCCAGTAGATAGTTGTATGTCATAGCTGCACATCCTTCTAGTTGCTGTATGTGGGATTCGGCCTCAGCATGGCCGGAGAAGCGGTGCATCGGTGCGCACCCGGGATCCGAACCCGGGCTGCCAGCAGCGGAGTGAGCGCACTTAACCGCTAAGCCACGGGGCCGGCCCATTGGAGCAGCTTCTTAAGATAGTTAAATAACGTGTCACCCTTTTATTCTAGGGATTTTTCATTCTTGTGATAAAGCACTTCACAGTGAAAAAGAAACATAACTGAAGTCAGTCTAATCTCTCCAATTTAACTTTTGCCTGGATGCTAGAATTTGCCAGAATCTTTGGCTTTCAGCATAAACATTAACTTTCAAATATTAATATTGTATTTGTTCATGTGACTGTTAATAGTCACTTCGTTAGCTGCTTTTTTACTTCTGTAAATGTTGAAGGAAATGTTGAGACAGACTTTGCGATTCATCTTCCTGAAGATACAGCAATGTTGTACATGTTATAACAACTATGACCACTTAGCATAGTTGGCTATAGGAAGTAGTAGAAGATTAAGCAGGTTATTTTTTATGAATGGCTGAATATACTGTTGATTTATAAAATAATAGTTATTATTTATTGAGTATCCTCTGTTGGCCAAGCATTGTGTCAGACACTTCATATTTATTATTACCAACCTTCGTAATAATCCCACACGATGGTGGTATTCTCAGTTGAATGGATCCGGAAACAGACTCACAGTGATTAAGTAATTTGCCCAGAGTTACACAGTAGTAAATGATTGTGCCAGGATTGAATCCAGTTTGGTCTGTTTTTTCTGTGCTACTTACAGAGACTTTAGATTAGAAAACATGTCGTCAATATTTAAAATCTGAAGAACGGCAATTAATGACAATATTTTAACGATGTTGTTCCTCCCTGACACGTGAATTTGCGTGCATCCAGTAAGTGAGCTCTGCAGTTGACCTGGCCTCAAGAGCTCTCTGTCTCTCCCTATTAGCATTGCAAATTTATCTTCATTGCAGATTTATCTTCACTTCCTGTAGCAGCTTACTGTCATCATTCAAGTGCCTGCTCTGACTCCCAAGCCCTGCAGTTCCTGCCCTCACCACCTAAGTAATTTTGCTCCTGGTTTTATCTACCTCCCTTAGAAATTTTTAAATTTGGAGCCTCTTTACACCCTGCTAAGTAAGACCTTCATAGAAGCCACCGTGGAAACCCTTGCTGCCTCAGACCTGGCAAGGGCTGTGGTTAAATCCTCCCCTATCTCTACATCCTGTTCTCATGGCTTACACAGAAAAGAACCAGGGTCTCCATTCAAGTGCTTTCCTTATCCCTTCTTCCCCTCCACCTACCCTCCCACCCATCTGTCATCACAGCACCTACTATATACTGGACGCTGGGTTTAGAACTGAAGATAAAGAAGACTGCAGCACAATCCATAGCCTCAGGGGGCTCACAGTCTAACAATGGAGATAGACCTACAAATAAACAAATTGCAACACATAATGAAAAGTGTAACATTATAGTAGTTGCCATTCATTTAACAGTCGCTCTGTGCCGGGCACTGTACCGTTATACTTCCATTATCTCTTAATCTTCACATCAGGGCTATGAAGTAGGTAGCATCATTATTATTCATGTTTTACATGTAATAAAACTGAGGTTCTGAGGTATTAAATAACTCACCATGGTCGTACACTAGTCAGTGATAGAGGTAGGATGTTAGTCCAGACTATACGACGTGTAGCCCATCCACGCACTTCACGGCCATATGCTATATAGACTCCTTTGAGACATAACAGGGATAAGATGGTAACAGCATCTAGACTGGGTTTTGAAAAATGAGAATAATTGTCAGACAGAAAATTTGTCAGACAGATTGGGCATCAGGAACATTTAAGTCAGAGACATAAAACAAAAATTGTAGGTTCCGGGAATGAATAAGCCATCTACTTTTGCAACATAGGTCTGTCTTCTTACAGCTGCTGACCAGTAAAGGCAGAATATTTTCTAAATGCCAAGAAAGGGAGATAGAAGAAGGTAGAAACTTATTCTCATTTAGAAGTCAAAGGAGGGGCCGGCCTGGTGGCACAGTGGTTAGGTGCGTGCGCTCCACTGTGGCAGCCCAGGGTTCGCACGTTGAGATCCCAGGCGCCCATCTGACGCACCGCTTATCAAGCCACGCTGTGGCGGCGTCCCATATAAAGTAGAGGAAGATGGGCACAGATGTTAGCCCAGGGCCAATCTTCCTCAGCAAAAAGAGGAGGATTGGCATTGGAT